GTAATGTTTATAATATAATGTCATAATCAATTAAATAATCATGTAATTATGTAATGTTATTATTAATTATGTAATCATACTATAATGAATTAAGTAATTATATTATAAATCTTTAATATGCTATTATAATTAATTTGTTTATAATATAATATTATAATTAATTAAGTAATCATTTAATTATAATGTAATGTTACAATTAATTAAGTAATCGTACTATAAAATTAAAATGTAATGTTATAATTAATTAAATTTCTAATCATTTAATTAAGTATTGTGTTAATGTTTATATAGTAAATTAGTAATTATTAATGTTTATAATATAATTTTATAATCAATTAAGTAATTATTTAATTATATGATCATACTATAATCTAATGTTATAGTGAATTAAGTAATCAAACTATAAATCTTTAATGTAATGTAATAGCCACTTTCTACTCAAATACTCATAATAAAATACTAATAAAATAATATAAAGAAATTGGACCCAAAATTTTTCTTTTTATTAAATATATATATATATTCTTTATAAACATATACATTTTTACACAAACTTATAATGTGTACAAAAGATATTAAAACATGGTGGACAGTGTAACCGCTTTCCCTCGCGTGTCGACGTCCATCCGACTGCGTTCTCACCTAGATCCTGCAAAACATAGGAAAACAACGGGGTGAGCATTAAAATAATGCTCAGTAAGTAAATCCTCTACTCATCTATCCCCGTAACTCTCTCTCTCGAATTCTTTCTTTACGACTTCTCATTCAATTTCTCTTGGGTACTTCTCTCTCTCTTTCTCTTTCACTTAGAACGCTTTTCTATTACCTCTCTTTAGTAAGTCACGACCCCATCTTACCTGGGGCACGGCCGGGACTCACTCCCACTCTACGTGACCTCAACTCATTCTAGCCGATCGGATTCAGTTATGCATGGATTCGGAACCCTTGGCCATGTGAGTGTATAATCTCTCTCTCGGGTACTCGGGTATAGCCCTCATCCGCATGCACTCTCACGGGCTACACCACTTCTCTATCTGATACTCGTGCCGCTCTCTCAATGCGGCGTACATGCGGGAATACTCTACCCATTACTCACGAGTTCCCCATCGCACAACCTACTCTATTCTCTTTCTCTTAACTCTTAAGTAGCTTATACTCAAATTCTCTACTAATTCTCAAGCTACTTCTTAGTGTATAACTAGCTTATGCTCACTAATACACCAATGAAATGCCAAATACAAGATTTCCTCAAAACAGTCATTCTGCACAAGTCAACTAAAAAGGCCATAACTTTCGTTATACACCTCGGATTGCTACGGTTTTGGTCTCGTTTTAAAGCTTAGAAACAGGGCTATAACTTCTATGTTTTGGTCTCAGCCCAGTTCAGTCCGTAAGATACCCAAAAATTACTTAGAAAGTTACGGCAGTGACAGGGCAGATTTCACCTGGCATTTCATCAAGCAACTCTGTGCATATACACTCTCTACTAAATTACTACTATACTTCATTCTCTATCCATCCAAAATGGGGGAAAACTCCCTCAAATACTCATAATCCCTGTCAAGAAAAGCACTTCCAAATAGATTCACAACAACATCTCTCAAGCTTCATCCAAATCCATTTCTCAAAACACATTAAAACACTTCTCATACATGGAACTTATCCACCAACACAAATAGCTACTCATCTCAACTCAATTTTCTCATCAATCATACTACATACTGATCATGCATACATCTCTACTCAAAAGCTTATTCAAACTCAAGTTGGTTGGATTACTTACCTTGTCAAAAGGTGACTTCTTTAGCACTTTTCCTTTCCTTTGTGTCCTGTCTCTTCTCTACACTCAAAACAACAACAAGAACAATAACAACCAAATAAGCCTTCACTATAACTATAAGAAAACTCACATCTAAGCATGCATCCTTACCTTAGGAAGTTTTAGATGAAATCTCTACTCAAAATTACCCAAAAACTCCTTAAATCCCTTAGAAATTTGGAAGATTTGATGGAGAAATGAGAGAACTTAGGCAATGGAAGAGCGGTGGAAATGAATGAATAAAGGGTTTCTCTACACTTAACCCTTTTAGCTCATATTATAAGCATCATTTCCCATTTTGCCCTTGCCCTTCCTGGAAATTCCTATATATCCTTTGATTCTTTTCAAATACAACCCCATCCAAACACATCTCTACTAAATTTCCTTACTTTTACTCCCCACTTTCCTACTAATTAGGGGTAGAATGGTCATTGTGCCAAAAGAAGAATTCTCTAGAAAACTCAAGAAACTTTGTATTAGGCTCGTCGCCCGGCGAAGAACTTTCTGTCGCCCCGGCGAAACAGGGCAGAACCTACCCGTGGGTGCAGCTCTTCCTCGCCGCGCGAAACTTCTTCTTCGCCCCGGCGAAGATTGGATTTTTCAAATTTCACCAAATTCAACCAATTCAAGGCAACCATTCAATCAACTCAACATACAAACTCATTGAAACTGAATAGTAAACTTTTAACTAATCCAAATCTTAAATGGTACCTCAAGTGGGATATTACATGTAATATTAATTAATTAAATTTTTAATCATTTAATTGTAATGTAATAATGTAATAAATTACTAATGTTTATAATGTAATGTTATAAATTTATAACTAATTAAGTAATCATTTAACTATGTAATACTATAATTAATTAAGTGATCATAATATAATGTATGTAATAATGTTATAATTTAATAAGTAATTATTTACTATAATGTAATGCTTAATTAATTAAATCTCTAATTATTTAATTAAGTAATCATTTGTTTATAATGTAATGTTATAATTAATTAAATATTTAATAATTTAATTAAGTATTATGCTAATGTTTATGTAGTAAATTAGTAATTACTATTTACTAATGTTTATAATATAATGTCATAATCAATCAAGTAATCATTTAATTATGTAATGTTATAATTAATTAAGTAATTAACTAATTGTACCATAAATCTATAATGTAAGGCTAATAATTAATTAATTTTTAATTATTTAATTAGTAATATACTAGTAATCAATTATGTAATGATATAATTAATTATACTATAAATCAATTCATGTATAAAATTATAATTAATTAAATAATCATTTAACTATAATGTAATGTTATAATTGATTAAGTATGATATTTAACTAGTAATTAAAGTTATTAATGTTTAGCAATTTATCATATATAATTAATTAATTGCTAATTTACTATACATATACTTAGAACTTGATAATTGAAGTAAATAACTAAATATATTATTATTCAATCAAATATAATATTTTATTCAAAAATAATTCTTTTAATAACATTAAAACACTTTTAGTTGAATCATAATTCCAATTATACACTTAATTAATCAAAACTTTAATATTAATATATTATAATATATTAAAGTTTTAATATGGTGTAGTTTATATGTAATAAATATCATTGTATATTTATTTAATTAGATTATTCTAAAATGTTAACTTTTTTTATTTTAAATTTTTTATATGTAAAATAATGAAACTCCCATTATTCACAAATATTTCATTGGAGCCCAGGTTCCAAAACAGATTCTAAAATAGGTTCCCAAATAGGTTTCAAAAATCGATTCCAAATCGGGTACCGGCTACAGGTTCCAAACCGGGTACCCGTTTCAGGTTCTTTTCCCAGGTTCCGGTTTTGGTTCCTCCACACATAAAAACTGGAACTGGAACCGCACAGTGTCGGTTCCAATAAAATGGAACCAAAACCTACTCGTACAATGCCGATTCCAATAAAATGGAACCGAAACCTACCCGTATAGTATCGGTTTCGAGTAGGTTCTGATTCTGGTTCTAGTTCTGCTCGCAGGTTTCGGTTCTATCTGCTACCCGTGTTCATCCCTAATCAAAATCCTTTGGATGCTCAGCTTCAAATTTTAATACTCTCACATATTCTTTTTTCTAAAAATTTCCAAGTCATGTTCTTCTCTAAATTCCTAGTTCAGAAAAATCTTTGTGCATAAATGTTTAAAAATTTGTATACAAACTGTTTCAAAAACGTCTAGTTGACTAATAAAATGGACACCTAAACACCTCACCGAACGTTGTATCCTTATGAATTTAACTTTATATACAGTAGAATCTTTTTATATTCATAATGTGAGACCAAATTAATTTTATTACTATGAGGAGATTATAACTTAATAAATGTATAACTACAAAAAGTATCCTTTTGACTTAGTTATCATTAGTGTAAGTAGTATAAAAGTAAAATATGCATTACATTATTAATTAATTAATAGAGCATGCCAAATTCAAGGTATAGACATTGATAAAAAAGACTCATATAGTTTCAAAAAATTAATACAAGTACCTATGTAGTGTTGGGACTATGCAAAGTCATCTTAAAGTCTAAAATTCTGCAATCTCTTTAATGTTTTTTTGTCAATGTAAATTCTATAAATACATTGTACTATAATACAACACATGCAATCTTTAACCAATTCAAGTAACATAACATATATTTTTTTACAATATACAGATAATTATTATTATCTAAAGGCAAGTTCCTCAAGACAAGATTTAGAAAAATTATAACTTATTGCAATATAAAATTTATTCTTATTTATAATTTACTCAAGTTGAAACTAGACTTTGCCGTGACTATTATTTTTATATTGAGTATTACTGTGGAAAAGTTTAAACTTCATATGTTTCTCATCATTATTATAATATACCTAACAGGCACAACTCGAGCAAAAGGACAACAGAACTCTAAAAAGTTCAAAGTTTCGAACATGTGATTAGAACAAACATTGGTGCTAATTACAGAGAAGGTTCAGAGTATTTGTTTACAGAAAGATAGGAGCTCTGAAACTAGCAGATACTTCTTATTTTCCATTAAGCACATAGTAATTGTTTACACGAGTTTTTCCTGTACTACTTCTTCAACAAGGAAACATACAGAAGTAAAAACATACAACACAAAGTTTACTATAGTCTACCAACAACACTTATTCTTCACTAGCTTCTGGTACCTTCTCATAAATTACTTCCAGCTCCCTGAACCTCCGAGGAAAGAAGCATCGCCCGCCAAATCTCCGCTGGAGGTATATGATTGCTGCAAAAAGGATACCCACTAGCGGGATAGTGACATCCCAAGCAGTGGAGTAAAAATCTGCAGCATGGTCTGCATATATGTATGAACCGTCAAAATTCTGAACATAGTTCTGAGCCCTGTAAAGGTCATATGCATGTGGCACCAACCGAACGAAAGTGAATCCGATGTAAAACAAACGAGAAAGTACATTTTCTCTTGAGTTGTAGAACATGTTGAGGAGGATTTGTGGGAAAAGGAAACCATCCAGGATGAAACCAGCATAGGATCTCAAGTCCCTCCAAAGAGAATGCTGGTTGTCATCAAATCGAGAAGAATAATAATATCGCGTTGCAAACCCAACATTGTTGTTCCTCCAGCTTGCATAAAAAGTTATTAAACCCCCAGCTAGATATAATGGCAAAGACACAAATAATGCCTTCTTCTCAGCAGCCCACAAGGCCTTATGGTTGTTGTCACCCATTCGTTTGGACAATGAAAGCTGGAGAAGACGAAATTGTAACAGAAAAGCCACCATCGTGATTATTCTTACAATCACTTCGTGCACTTCTAGCCATCCTCCACTTCCAAGGAAGACACTTTGGCGATTGCGGGTTCGTAAGAACAAGGCTTCAAAGTTCAACACAAGAACTATCATGTGACCCAAAGTGAGAATTGTGAGCATGAGAAGTGAAATGAAAGGCAGAACTCCGGGGTTCCTTTTCACATACAAAAGTTGGAACACCACAAAAACGCAGGCAAGTGTATTGGAGACCAGAGCCATGAGGATCTCCAAATCCATCCGCCATATTGATTGTCTTTCCAGGAAGGTGTAAGAAGCAGTTGAAGTGACATAGAGAGGCTTAAAGTAAAGAGGATCAGATTTGTTGCGAGCGCTTGTGATGGTTCCCCTGATATAGACTCCATCTTTCTTCGCATTTAGTGGAGGAAACTGAAGATGGACAAGAACCTCGCAGTCCATTGAATCGTTTGTCAGTTTCTGATTGCTCAATGCAAGATATCTGCAGCCAACCATGCGAAGGCATCCAGTCTCAGGATCATAAAGCCCTTCAACAAATATTTCTACTCGCCCGTATTTCTCACTCAAGGATGTATTGAATAGGGTTTTGACACGATCCAATCGCGCATAGTAATATGGTGAGAGGCTTATTTTGTAGCTGATGTTGAGTGGTCTAGTAATGCTGGTATTCCCTTCAACGCCAGAACTCACGGGTCTCGAGCTTGAGAATGGCTTGGAGGAATATTCTGACGACTGGGAAATTTGATCGCCAATAGAGATCTGAAATGAAGAACCCCACCCAATTTCCTGTCTAGAGTTTCTGACTGACATATCAAAGCTCATTTCATAAGAGTACCCATCCGGGTATTTTTCCCCACCATTTCTAATGGGTAACTTCTTCGTCAAGCATGAAATATTTTTCACTTTCTCAATTGCTGTGTACATATACTTCAGTCCTGGAAGCCGTAGCCAACCATCTTCGGTACTTCGGAACAAAATTCTGTCAAAGTAACCCACACCATTCTCAGTTTTCTGACTCCAAATTTGGCCTAACATGGCAGTTCTGTTTCTGATTGACCAGATTGTAGGAAATCTCAAGGTCAACCTTATGGAACAATCCTCAACATGAGAGTCCTCCAAGGCACCATTGGTGTTCAAGATTCTGCAAGCAACAACACATAGCCGATTCTTCTTCCAATCCCACGTTCCTTCCCCAACGAACGTTGTGTTTGGATCGAAAGGGCTGTAATAGTAATACCCAGAATAGCTACTGTTGGAAAATTCCACCAAAAACCTTAAATTTCGTCCATCCGCTGAACACTGTAGCTTATTCAAAGACATCACTCGTGGCAAATATCCAACACCGTCACCAAAAGGATTGCAAGTCTTTGTAGAATTGCAATCACTTTCATACTCCAACTCAAAAGTGGTGTATGCCCTCTCAAAGATTGAACAAACAGTTGTACTCACCTGTAAACGGAGTGATGAGTTCGCTTCTGCAACATTCTTCTCACCAGAAAACTCATTTTCGATCAAGTCTTTTGAAGCCTTAGTGTACTTGTAGTTTACTTCAGGAAATATCAACAAGGAAATTGGTTCGAAATAACTGGAATCATCAGCAGAACTCAAGCTCTGAAGAGTTCCACTAACCAGACTGGTAATATCACTTGAATTCCTTACACCATTAAGCTTAAGGACAGCAGTACGATGAAGAATATTACCTTCTGGAGAGAAACTAGAACTTGATCCCACCATGCACAGCTTCCCGGAAGAATTTGACCAGAATCCTTTTAAACTGAAACTCAAAGCACCCTGTCCAGAGCTCATAGTCCTGAAGACTGATTGAGAATATATCATACCCGGAGCCCTAAGATTCAGGTTCCAGCTATTGAAGATCAAGCTCCCATCAACCTTGAAGACACCGGGATGACCAGTGCTATAGACATCCTCAGTCTGAAACGACATCGTTTTCCGCTCACTTGATGAGTATTGAGATGGGTTTGGATTCAAGATTTTATCCCCACCTTCGTAGTAACCATATTGGCCGGTTGGAAACGGCAAGGTGGTGAATTCAGGATCATTTGGAGTTAACTCAGGGACAACTGAAGCACAGTGATCAGAATAAGAGATTTCACTTCCACTGCAAGACACTATGGTTGCATATAAGAGTGCAGAAAGAAGTAGGAAAGAGTTGAGGGAAGAAGCGACTGAGGAATAAGCCATAGTCAGAGAAAATAGTTCTTCAAGCAAGAAGATGAAACTAAAGAAGAAAGTTAAGTCACCATAAGGATTTGGGACTCAACTGAAGTCTATTTATCTCTTATCTATCTCACCATCAGTCCTCTCCCTAGAAAAAAGAGTGCTCCAGTAGACTTTTCAGGGCACAAGTCTTTGGACTCCTATGTGGAAAAACCTCACTTAGTCTTCGTCAATGGCAGCATCTGTGGCTGTCTTGCACCACATTAAATAGCTTCAAAGACTTCAACTAAATCAAGTCTAGCAGGTCACTTTTGTTTGATAATTACACACAAAGTCTAATACAATTAGCATAAGTCTTTGAAGTATTTCACAAGGTCTAGTTAATCTAAGACTCGTTACCGGTCCACATTTTGTGCCATTATATACATATTTTCAATTGGCAGGAGTTAGAAGAAATTGTCAAATGATATTATGGGCGTTTTAGGTCTGCACAGATTTATTTTTGGGCTTAACACAAGCGGCTTTTAACTTAAAATAACTTAAACCTTATAAACTAGATCCCAAACTTATCGCTTAATATAGTATATTACAGAAATTCTCTGACTCCCCTTTCATCACTTATCACAAACTTGCACAAGTTACTAGTATTGTGCTTTAAGAATCTGAACGTTCATTGTCAACATTAATCTTTTATTGAGAAAACTTTAGTTCATTCATTTTCCAAGGAGTTGAAAATCTCAGTATATTTATTTGTAGTAGGGCCAGTAAATGGGTGGACATGGTGAAGCTTGGTACATAAGTTATAAAGGTTGGAAAATTGGTTGGACAAATTATTGACAATGTGAACCTAGTCAGTTTCCTATATGGAAGAAAAGTCTCTCACTCACTTTTTATTGAGGTATTAAATTCTTCACGTATTCCTTGGGTTTGAACCTGATCATACTCCAAAGATGATCCAATGAACTTGAGAAATATGTCAGAATTTTAGATGAATATGGAATTGGTAACTAATTTCAAACTTCTCCAAATGGCAAAAATTAAGTGGGTAATTTCGGTTTCTTGTGGTTATTTTCTTTTGAAAAAAAATTTAGGTTTTGATAAAGGAGATAAGGCCAAAGTGTCTTGGAATTGTTCTACTTCAGCTACTTTATTGATGATTTGGCAAGAAAGGAAACAAAAGGATTTTTGGAGATAGTATGAAGAAAACATCATTATTTTATGTGACAAAATTCGTTTACTTTCTTCTCTTTGGGCATCCCTCTAAGGTTTTCCAAGATACTTCTTTATTTTTTCCATTAGTTTGGATTGAGAAGCGGTTTTGGTTAATAAGTTGAGATCACTAATTTAAAACCTGGACCGGATCGGACTGGACTGGTCTAACTAAGACCCGGCAACCTCTCCCGTCTGATTCAGGTTTGAGGGGGTTTTTGATATTTTACAAAGTTGAGACTAATTTGTAATTTCTGGGGTGTTTTTGATATTTCAAAATTTTAAGGACTAATGATTGTTTTGTGGCATTTTTGAAATAAATTAAAAATTTAGAGCCTAATTTGTAATTTTGTAGGGGTATTTTTGTAATATATTAAAATTTGAGAGACTACTTTTAATTTTTTTTAAATAATTTTATTGCTGACATCACTTGTCCAAATTATTTTTAAAAAATCTGAATCGGTTGACCATGATCCGATCACCTTGTCAAGTCTGAGAACTGTTGGGTTTTAAAATAATGGTTGAGATATGAATCCATATCCTACTCCTGTTGTGTTGGGCTTGAGGATTTCCATTTATCTCAAACATTATTCCAGTAATTTGACAAAGTAATCTCAAAACCCCTAAAGCAATCTGAAATTTTGTTTTTGTTTTTTTTTTTTTTTTAAAAGATTTGTTTTCCCTCGAATAGTTTTTAGTTAAATAGCAAGGTTTAGTCTGTGTCATTCACACTGGTAAAAGTCTTAATCGGAAGAGTTCAAGAGCATTATAAATATTATTTTTGGAGATCCATAAGTAAAAATTTCAGATTGCAATAACATTATCCAAACTAAGTTATTTTTCTCTTTCATAAATCAATGCAGACATGTTTGTGTTAGATGAACGGCAGGCTTGAACATTTGATTGGAACATATATGTTTACGTCAAGATAATATCAACATTTCTGGTTCAAGGAACACTCCGTCTACTTACACCCTCAAAAGTCAAATAAATATCAACTGAAGATAGTGTTATAATATTTCAGATATTTCAATAGTTGTATGGTATATAATTTAGAGTTTTTGGACGCAACTGTGAGTAACAGATTGAAACTGTTTTGTTTTTGTTGTAATTTATTCAGCCTTCTCTATCATTACCTTTCATGATATACAAGCCACGGCCGGCTTGGAAAGTGTTGGAAATTAGCAGCCAATAAAACCAATTTTCAGGGTTCTAATTTCATAAGACAAAAGAAGAAGATGAACTTGTTAAAAGGAGAACAATTATATTCATTAAACTCAATTAAAACATACATCTTACATCCCAGTTTTAAAGGGATAACTAAAAATAACCGAAACACAAATAGTTACAAAATAATAAAACTGAAAATAACTTCTATTTGATTTTATCTAAAACTGAAATTCTAAATCATGTCGTGGTACAATGCCGTGGCTTTAAGCATTCTGGAATTTTAGGTTCCAGCTTCTTTCTTGTGTGTCGGGGCACTGTGCCCCAACACGATTCCCTTCTACCAAAACGTGTTCGTTGTTTAACAAAAAGATATATGCATCAAAATAAAATAATCCTTGTTTTTTATGATCTTCAAAGTCAACATATACTTGGAAAAACAAACGAAACTTTAATGATTATATTAGTTTAAAAAGTATGTGATAATTTATTGATGTTCTATGTGTAGACGTAAAAATTTACTTGTATAGAATGAGAGACTGATAATATTTGTTGGCCTTAACACTACGTTAATAACTTCATGATAATTGTGGAAGAATTCTCTCATTCCTCTGTCATCAGCAACTACTAAAATTTATTACTACTGATTTTTTTTAATGATTATTTTGATTTCAAACTCTTAGAATTCTAAGAAGAAAGTTTCCTGAATTTCATTAATAATGTTCATCTAAACAAAATTTATGAACCTTATTTATTAAACAGATAATATTCTCATCCAATTAAATTATGAAACACATATCCAACAATTGAATGTTTCCATAGAAAACAATCTGTTGTCTTCTCAAAAGAAAGAATCTGCTATTTTCTTCCTTATTTTATTCATCTGGCTTCAGTTGCTCCTGGACATGACTCTTACTTTATGTATATATACGAGATAAATCTCAATATAATCCATAACTAAAACATGCTTAATTGAGAGACAACTAGTACAGTGGAAATATGCAAGAAACAACGAGAGAATCATTTGTTACCATCTAAGCCCGAGCCTGCAGTGGCTAAGATATTCCCATCAGAAGGGCTAGAAATCTCGGGCAATTGTGATTCACTGACAACAGGAACCTTCTCGTATCCTTCGCCCTCCCTGAGTTTCTGGGATAGAATGCATTGGCTTCCAAACCTCTGCTGCAGGAAAATGATTGCAGCAAACAACAGGCCCCCTAAAGGAATAATAACATCCCAAGCAGTTGAATAAAAATCTAAATCACGAGCTGCGTATATATATGATCCAACAGAACTGTAGCTGTGAGCCCTGTAAAGATCATAAGCATGTGGAAGCAAACGAACAAAAGTGGTTCCAATGTAGAATGAACAGGACAGAACATTCTCTTTAGAGTTGCTGAATGCGTTGAGCAGAATTTGAGGTAAAAGAAATCCGTCCGTGACCAAACCTGCATATGATTTCAAGTCCTTCCAGAGAGAACGCTGAGGGTGTGTTAGGCGAATCGATAGCAACCAATCATCATGGTTTCGCTTCCTCAAGCTAACAAGCGAAAATATCAAGGCCCCAGCTGCATATAATGGCAAAGACAAAGACAAAGTCGACTTCTCAGCAAACCACAAGGCCTCTCGGTTTGTACCAGCCGATCTTGCAGACCATGATAGCATGAGAAGGCGAACTTCCAACAAGAAAGCTACCATTGTTATTGTCCTGAAGAGCACCTGATTCACTTCAAACCATTCACTGCTTCCAAGCACAACAGTTCTCTGTAACAGGGCTCCAAAATTTAGAAGAAGAGGTATCATGTGGCCCAAAATGAGAATCAAAAGCATGGAAATTGAAATCAAGGGAAGCACATCAGGATGCTTTTTCACATGCAAAAGCTGCAATACCACGAAGACACATGCAAGTGTGTTTGTTATAGCAGAAATGCCGATCTCTAGATCCATCCTTTTAATGGACTTTTTTATTACAGGTGTAGTATAAGTAGCTGAAGACACATCCATTGTTTCAAAATAAAGAGGATCTGATTTCACCCGTGCGCTTTTGATGCTGCCCTTGATATAACCTTCATTCATCTTCGAATTTGATGGAGGAAACTGGAAATTGATAAGAACCTCACAGTCCATGGAGTCATTTATCAATGATTGATTCTTAGAAACAATATATCTACAACCTACCATACACAACTTTCCTGTTTCTTTATCATAAATTCCTTCAGCAGAAAACTTTAGGATCTCATAACTCCAAGATACACCAGATCTTAGCTTGATATCAATTATATAGCTGATATTGACAGGGCTGTTATTCCCCGGATTATCTTGAACTGCAGATCCCGAAATTCTTGAGCTTGGGCTAATTGGTGAATACATGGGATATGCATACCGATTATAAAATTTATAACCAACAGAAAAGGGAGTTGCAGTGCCCCAAGAAGTGTTAATCTTAGAGCCTTCAACCCACATATCGAATCGCATATCACTAGAATACGCATGTGGGTATCCCTTCCCCTTGTTCTTTTTCGGCTTCCCTTTCGACCAGCATGAGCTTCGTACTTTTTCCATTTCTGTATATTCATATTTCCGACCTCGAAACGTCCTGAAAGGACTCTCAGAACTTTGGAACATGATCTTATTAAAGTAGCCTGAATCATTTACAGATTTGTTGCTCCAAATGATCCCCACAACATTACTAGTGTCCCTGATTGACCATATTGCTGGGAAGCCCAACCTCAGCCTTGTTGTACAATCCCCAACTTTAGCATTGGACAAAGAATCTGTGGTGTTCAAAAATCGGCAAGCAACAACACACAGCTGATTTATCTTGTCATCCCACAATCCTTCCCCAATCAATGTTGTGCCGAGATTGAAAGGCTGGTAAAATGAAGCATAGCTACGGCTAGGAAAATTCACCAGGACTCGCAGTCTTTTTTCCTCCTCCAGGCATTGAATTTGTTCAAAGGAAACGGCAGTAGGCAAATCTCCAACAGCTGCACCAAGAGGTCCACAGTTTTTGGAAGAATCACAATAACCAGTGTACCTCAAGTTAAATTCATTAACAAATCTCGAGATTATTGAGCAGAAACTTTTTGAAGGCAGTGAACTGATTAGTAAACTCTCCACACTATCATTTGCACCAGAAAACTCTCCACCTGATTCTTTTGAAACCAAAGTGTACTCATAATTCAGTCTTGGAAGAATCATTATAGAAATCGGTTCAAAATAACTCAAATCATCAGAAGAACTCAAGCTTTCCATAGTTCCTGTAACCAAAGTAGTAACAGTATTACTAGAGTTCCTGAGATTACTGAGCTTCAGGACAGCCTGAAGATTCAGAATCTTACGTTCTTTGGTGAAGAAATAACCATTTCCCACCATACAAAGGTTGCCAGAAGATTCTGACCAGAGCCCTCCTAGCCTGAAACTTATTGGACTTCCAACGTGAAGTCCTCCAGACCAGTATAGAGATTTTGAAGCATTTCCCTGATAGTAGTGGGTGTTTTGAGATGGAAACCCCAGAATTCCTGCTATACTATATACACCATCCTGGTCAGTTCTGTAGACACTTTCTGTCTGAAAGGTAAGTGACTGTAAGCCCTGAGACAGTTTCTGAGAAAGAAATCTACTGCCACCATCATAATAACCATTTCTGAAAGGAAAATAAGAGAACCAGGCACGTTCATACTTTGTTATGGATGATGCGGAGACAACGGAATGACAATGATCAGCATAAGAGGGTTGAGTTGCAGAAGATAACAGAGAGTTGAAAGACAAAGCAGTTAACAGAATGGAAAATATCAAAGTATGATGCCATGAGAACAACATCGAGTGATTCATGATTGAAGAAGAAATGTAGTTGCTACTGAACTGCTCAATTTTTTGTTGTCAGGATAACATACACAATTCTGCTACATGGAGCACTCCGTATTGTTACACCCTCAAAGACAAACTAAGCTTCCTGAAGACTTGGAAATTTCCGAAGATGAAAGACAACAGCAGATAGAGTTAAGATATTTTGGGTTTTCCATTAGTTAAATTAGTAAATAATATAGTGGTTTTTGGACATAATTTGAAGCAACAACTTGAATCTGTTCTGTTTTTGTTGGACATATTAAGCCTTCTCTATGGCCGGCTTGGAAAGCTATACATGAAGAAAGATAAAACCGCTTTGGAGAGTTTAGGATAGGAAAATGTTAGAACTCAAGCCCAAGGAAGAGCCCAACCCAAAAGACCGGCCTAATAAGTAGGAAAGTCCCTAGACTTAAGTATCACATTTGATAGGTGTGAGATTTCGATGTGGGATCCTAATATTGCACCCCCCTTTAAGAGCCGACGTTCACAACGGCTTTCACTCTATCGATATAGACCTGACGGTAGCCCTTTCCCCCTTTGGATGGCTTCACTCACCTATCAGTTATTTGATGCAACATCCCCTCCCAAGGAAAAGGGCTTGCACCTTAATCTAATCTAGAGGTAGCCATTTTCGCAACCCAACTCTCAACAAAAAGCACCAACGTTAGAACTCAAGCTCAAGGAAAGTCTAACCAAAAAGACTAGCTGGATAGTTGAGAGAGCCTCTAGGCTTAAGTACCATACTTGGTGGGTGTGAGATCCCGATGTGGGATCCTAACATAAAATCAAACAAAACCTTACTAATTTTTATAGTTTAAAAGGTGTTTGATCAATATTAATGTTCTATGTTCATACAAAAATATTTGAAAGAAATTTTCAGATTCCTCTGTCATCAGCAACTCTTAAATTTATTACTAATTATGTTGATATCAAACTCGTAGAATTCTAAGATCATTCATGAGTGAATATTTAGAAAATTTTATGAGTTTCATAAATAATGTTCATCTAATCAAAATTTAACCTTTTTAAGTTATTATAATTAGATCAAATTTTTATAAATCCAATTAAAATTTTAAAGACATCCAACAATTGACAGTTTCCCCAGAAAAACAATTATAGTCTGGGAGCATTTGGTGGAGCTTGGAAAAAAAAAAATATATCCTAGGTTAGAAGTTGCAATGGGAAACATAAATGATGTTGTCGATTGTCAATCTCTTATGAGCTTTAAAAATAGTCAGTTTAATGTAGATTGATTTCAATAAAGAAGTCCATTATCAACTGATTGGTGTTAAGTGTTAGGCAAATGAGTCCATTTTCATAATGAACTTAGCCTGGGAAAATTTAGTTGCACATGCCCTAAAACAATGTCCTTGAGTTAAGAGGAACAAATTCAAGAGGCAGGGGATTCAAAGTTTTCCACCGTAACATTTGCGATTGGGCCAAGTCTTGTACTAGTAGTCCTGCACATGAGATAAATCACACAATAATGCATAACTGGCACAAATTCAATGGAGTGACAACTAGTAAAGATGAAATAAGCAAGAAAATCATTTGTTACCGGCCAGATTTCTTGGGCAATTGTGATTCACTAACAACAGGAACCTCCTCATATCCTTCACCCTCCCTGAATTTCTGGGGAATAATGCATTGGCCTCCAAACAACTGCTGCAGGAAAATGATTGCAGCAAATAACAGGTCCCCTAGAGGAATAATCACATCCCATGCTGTCGAGTATTAATCTGAATTAGGAGTGGCGTATAAATATGATCCAACAGAAGTGTAGCTGTAAGCCCTGTAAAGATCATAAGCATGTGGCAGCAAATTCAGGACAGAACATTCTCTTCAGATTTCCGGAATGCATTGAGCAGGATTTGAGGTAAAAGAAATCCGTCCGAGACCAAATCCCCACATGATTTCACGTCCTTCGTGAGAGAATTCCGTGGAAGAGTTTGGCGAAGGGAAAGAAATATAAGTCCTGAACATTATGGCTGTGCTTGCTTCAGTTAACAAGCGATAATATCAAGGCCCTAGCCACAGACAATGGCAAAGACATGAACAGAAGTGACTTCTCAGCAATCGACAAGCCCATTTGATTTGCACCAATCCATCTTGAAGACCAGGATAGCTGCAGAAGGCAAACTTCCAACAAGAAAGCTATCATAGTTATTATCCTGACAAGCACTTCATTCACTTCAAGCCATCCACCACTGCCAAGCACAACAGTTTTCTGTTTGCGGTTTTGCAAGAACAAGGCTTCAAATTTGAGCATAAGGGGAAACATGTGGCCCAGAGTAAGAATCAAAAGCATAAAAAGAGAAATGAAGGGAATCACATCAGGATGCTTTTTCACATGGAAAAGCTGCAATACCATAAAGACACGAACATGCGTGTTGGTTATAACAGCAATGGCGATCTCCAGATCCATCCTTTTAATGAACTTTTATTACAGGTGTAGTATAAGTAGCTGAAGACAAATCCAATGTTTCAAAATAAGGTGGATCTACTTTTTATTATTCGTAAGGGTAGTTTAGTGTGTGTATATATACACACACACACACGTAACTTTGCTCTTTATATTATTCTCTTTTCTTTTGGATAATTGCAATATGGAACCCTAGACTTACCGATGGGTAGTCTGATAGTAAGAGGCACAATTGGTTTCAACTTTGCTAGAGATCTTAGGTTTGAGTCCCAATCAACACACCCACGTATTCACTCTTTAAAAAAAAATGATATAGGACAGCTTGGCCCATGGGAGGGGTCATAGCCATGCCATATTTTTTTTTCTTTTTAATTTTCAAGGCATGCCATATTTTTTTTTTTTCTTTTTAATTTTAAAGGAGTGAAGACAAGTCTCAACTAGTACACGATAAAATCAAGTAATAAACCAAAAATCACACAATCATCCGGAATCGCAGACCCTTAAGCATTCCTAAAAATATGAGCATGTCCAAATCCTTTTAACAACTTAATACTAGTATACTACCACTATTTCAAATGATTACAAAGTTCATCACCCAAAAAAAAAAAAAAAAAAAAAAAAAAACCCTTAAGGGTATCACAAAGTTTCGCTCAGGATCATATCAAAAACACAAACACAATAACCATTATGCAGCAAAAGCAAAATAAAAACCAAAAACACAGATAAAATAAACATTTCCCGTGAACAAACACACCGACAAACTTTTCACCAACCATCAACAACGCAACACAAACCACATTGCCCACTCCCTCAAACTTAAAGAATGCAATGTCCCCAATGCATGAAAAACAAAGAGAGTATGAAAGAAAAAAAATGAAAATAAGAGACAGAAACTTGCCTGAAAAAGAGAGGACAAAGCGACTATAAACTTTGACTCATATAGCTATCAAATTTGGCTTCAAGAATGTTCAGGCGATCATTAACACTGGCAATGCTAGCATCTAGTCTTTGCATCACCTACATTATCATCTCTAAAGTCAAGGTGTCATCCTCAAAGTCCGCGGAAGTAGACTTAGCAATTTTGGCCTCGACATTGTTAGGGCTCTTTTGCAAAATAGGACGTACCTGACCATCTTGCAAAACATACTGACCACGATAGGGATCACGCATATTCATAGCAGTTAAGGTTACAAGGTCAATGCGTTCTTTACCTACAATGGACTCTTCTAATTGCAAATCCGTAATGCTAGCATATTTAGCAATAGTGGCGATCAAACCACCTAGTACAATCTTACTTGTCCAACCATGTGCTACATGGTTCAATTGTCTTAATAGCCAAATACCAGAGTTGTGTTGATGACCTTTCTCCATACTCCATAAACAAAACAATTCACTCTTATCTACCCCTGTACTTTCTCCACACCCGAACATTGTATGTGACATGACTCTGTGAATGTATCTATGGGCAGGATTCCGTATGTGGGTGGATTTAGAAAAGCTAGCATCATATGGGTATGTGTTGGTAAATTTGTGCCAAGCAGAATTTTCATTATATGTAGGAGGAGGAAATCGGAAGCCCGAGTTAGCAAACCAAATATTTCGATAAATTAAGAACACGGTCTTGGTTTAATAATCTAAATGAAATATGTGCCTCATCTTAAATATCTTTGGCAACTACCTTATAGGAAAAGGAATTAAGAAATTCTAGGGTTAACTGGACTAAGTATTTGATTTCAAACCCATAAACGTAGTCCACCCTATGTTTCTTAGCAGCCTGTTTATTTCATCTTTTAAGTCCAAAGCTATCAACACTTTATTGTCCATAACGTCTGCAAGACATTTGGTTAGAGTAACAAACCTTTCCTCTTGTTTCTTATTTTTGAAAGTAATAGAACTTAGAATTTCTGGAGCTTTGGATCTCCAAGGAAAAGACTAACTACTTTGAGGATGAGAACAAAACTCCTTTTATAGTTTTCAACTTCTTTCTTGGACCCATTAGGTGCGAAAATTGATATTCCTACAAAAATCACAATTTAATCAAAAGCCAACAAAATACGAACTAAAAACAAAACCCAACAAAGAAGATTTAAGTACAAAATTAAACAATGACAAACCTTAAAAAAAAAAAATATATATATATATAAGAAAACAAAAGTCTCATATGTAATATTGTCAAAACAAAACCTAAACTAAACAATTTGCACAAGAAAATAAAACGAGCAAACAAAGCAAAAGTATGAAAATAATCCCATTACCCAACCTAAACATAAACCAAACAATTAAACCATGAAATAGCAATATTTTATGAGAAAAACTAAAAAAGGAAAGGCCCTAATAATGTCTAACACGGCTTCGGCCGTGGTCAAATTTAAGTTACCACGGCCTAGGTTGTGGGGCTTTTTGTCCTCTTAGTTTTATCTTCATTCCACCACCATGGCAGCATAGAACCACCAAAGCATGGCCGTGGCCTTAAAAAATGCCAGGTAATCTCAATTTTTTCAAGTTTTAATCCTAATTTCATTCAAATGCTCTAATCTATTCAATCAAAGCCTAAAAAACACAA